TAGGGTCAGATACTCTATTTCGTTTTTTCTCTTGTTTATTTGTGATTTATACGTGACAGCTTTGCTAAAAGCAACAGAAAGCTAAGTACATATTGCCAGTTGTTTTCCTATAACCAATTGTAATTAGATCGATTATCACACATGTATACACATAAGCAAAACAATGTGAGACCGTGATTGTCAACTGACTTTAAGAATATTAATTATTAGTGATTATTCATCCACTTCGTCTATCGTAAGTACTCTTTTATGTGAAACTTACGTCAGGTTTGTATCGATCTTCCGAACAATCTAAAGTTTTTTTTTCTTCGTTTTTTTTTTCTTGTCTATATTCTACGACAAAGGACAAAAAAAAAGCATCGTTGGAGAAAAAAAGAATATGCTGTAGAACGAAGAGAGACAAAGAAGAAGCAAATTCAATCAGGAAAAACAGAGAGAACGAGAACATTTCCCATCAGAACTGATGTTGATGATAATGACAACAGCATTATGATGGAATAGAAGTATATCTTACCGTTGTATTTTATTATTTTTGTATGTGTTTATTAATAATGAGAAAGGGAGAATAACTATGATCTGGGCTTATCATTATCTCACGACATTGTCTTCTGACGTTGAATAAAGTTCATCGTTATTAGGTCGATTATCTATGTATTTTATGTTATTTTCCTGTTAAAGACGACCGCCATGATCTGTCATCAGTTCTCTTTCGTCTCGTCTCGATACTCGATACATCTGTGTTGTAGAACACACTTGAATTGACAGTGAATTCTCTTGTGCTAAATTAATATGAATGAATATATATTCATATCCATCTAGTTCTCATTCAGGAAATAGAGATAACCAAAACAAATCTAACATATTTTTTGTCATTGTTTTTGTTTTTTTTTCTTGACTATGAAGATGAAAAAGAAAATAATAAAAGAACTTCTCAAATAAGCATTTCTTGTTAGTAAAAACAAAGAGTTGTTTTCATCAATATAACCTATTTTTCTAGAAGTATATATGCGAAATAATAATAAAAACACTTATTTTCTCTTTTTCTGATATAGTTTAAATTCAATTTTGTTTTATTATTATTGTAAGTGTCTCCTTTCTTCTATTCTATCATTCTTTTCATTAAAGACTTTTTTTACTTGCTTCAATTAACACATCTGCCAGTCAAAAGAAAATCAAAGTAGACATATTCTCTCAATCTGCAGTTTTTGTCTAGGTTTTGCTGTTGGTATATTTCTGGTGAGCTCATCTCTGGTTTGTATATAAGAATGGCGGTCATTATTTTTGAATTAATCGACGGAGAAAGAGAGAGAGAGAAGGAAATCGTATGTATGCAAACGCTTCCTCGACTCACTGACATTTCTTTCTTTCGTTGACACATAATGCGTTAGATTTTGCGTTATTTTATGTTACTCTTCTTCTTCTTCTCTGACTAATGAGACTTTTATGATTTGTCACCGATCTAAACTCTAGTTTATGTTTATAGAAATACAAAGAATATAATGACAGCTCCCTGTTTATTAAATGAATTTGAATTACTTCATGGTACAATAACACAAAAATTATTTATTCGTTTAACACCAATTATATTTTGTGTTGGATTACTTGGAAATATTCTTACAATTTGTGTATTTATTATAACCGATCTTAAAAGACAATCTGTGTCAATATTAACTATTACTTTAGCTATTGTTGATTCATTAATACTTCTTATACCCGTTTCCATTTTATGGCTTGAAAATCTATTAAAACGAGAATTTACTGATGCATCACCATTTTGGTGTCGTACACATGGTAATTTATTTCATTTGTTTTTCTTTTTATAAAATGATTTTATAGTAAGATTGTTTTTTCTTTTTTGCTTAAAGGTTTTTTTGATTTAACTTTAACATGTTGTTCAAGTTGGTTAATGATTTGTATTGCATTTGAACGTTTTTGTGCTGTTTGGTTACCGCACCGTCATAAAGTTTTATTTACTCATCGAAAAATATTTTTTTTTGTTCTTGGAATTCTTTTTACTGCAACACTAATATCAACATGGTTTATATTTGTTGTTAAAATGGTTTTAAAAACTCGACCTGTAATTTTAACACAGACATTTACATCATTCTTACAAAATTCTTCCAAGTTTGTATATTTATATTATTTTTGAAATGTTTGTTTTTAGTATTTTAATTTAATTTTTTTTAGAAATACTTCAGAAAATTTTATTGTTTGGCCGTCATGGCAAATTACTTCAGATAACCAGACAATAACAAATTATTTTAAATGTGATGTTTATGACGACATTCTATATGATTCAATGGGAATGGTATCAGTTATAATAAATTATTTTGTTCCGTTTATATTTGTATTATTATTAAATTCAACTATTATTTATCGTTTATGTCAACGTGGTATTGTTGAATTAAGATCATCAATAACAGTAACATTAATACTTGTTTGTCTTGTTCATTTATTTTGTACATTACCATTTCAATGTTGGTGGATATATTACGAAGTTCTTGATCAAACCGGTAATTGTTTATGGTTAAAAAATAAATTAACATGGCGTACAATAACATTTACAATAAGAAATGTTAATTATATGGCAAACTTTTTTCTTTATTCATGTTCATCGAAATTATTTCGAGATGAATTAAAGGGCTTAATTTTATTATGGTTATTACCACATGAAAGATATCAAAGTTATCACTATCGACGACAATCATTATATGATAATATGCAGCAGCAAAACGTTTCACTTATGCGTCTTATTATGAGAAGATTAAGTAGAACAACGGAATATACAAATGGTGGAGTTATTGTTAATCCTGTTGGTGGTGCTGTGGCAAATGATGGTCACGTTGCCCACGTTTAGAACAATAAATAAAAATAACGTTTGAAGAGTACACACATTCCTAATTTGTATGCACATATTAATTAATAAATAATTAAATATATTTTTTTGAATAGAGAAAAACGGCCTACAAGTTAATTGAGTGAGTGACTCTATTTGCGTTTGATCTGATCGTTTAATGTTATGACCTTTCTTTGAGTAGCAATTCTGTGAGGAATTATAATAGTGATCTAGGGCTCCTGAGAATAGAATGATAGACTGAACCGTTAAAGATAAAGTATAAACCAATATTTGACCTTGAGAGACGTATCATTTTTCTTACTAATTTGATTTTTGTTTTGAAGAAGCAGTCAACTGAACTAGATTGATTTCGTGAATTTCCGCACATAATATACAAAAATAAAATGTTATTTGGACATTATATATTACAGAATCTACGCGATAGAAATGTGCATCATTGACTGTCGATGAGATCATCTGCATGAAAAAACAGACACATACGCTAACCACTCAAAAGACGTATTTTTCCAATGATATTGCAAATGCAGAGTATTTCATAAGTTCTAATCCTTGACAGATACTAATTTATATGTCGACAAGGAATGATCACTTACTGAATATATTTATATGAAGTTTGGGTGATGGTGCCAACGTTTTAAATGATATAGTATTAATTGATATCTTCACTTATAAGAATAAGAATATAAATTGAAGTGCAATTCTCCAATTTTTCGAAATCGATCAACAAGTTTTTTTTTTTGCTGAAGAAAAAACATTACAGTTGCTTAACTCAAATAATAAGCTAATTACATACAAAATGTCAGTTAATTATCATGTATTCATTCTCTATTATATATTTTTACCTCATCAAATACTTTAGAAATTTTATCAGTCGTTCCTTTACATTCATTACAAAAGTTATTTTTCTTCATTCTTTGTTCAATCTACGTTTTAGACTTATAAAACTTGAAAATTGTCTTCGTTGTATATTTTTTGTCTTGAATGTTTCCTATAGTTTAAATTCAATAGTGATTTATTTGCAAGCCATTATTTCAATGATTCGACAACTTGTATATATAGAATAAACAATTGCAAATAAAGAAAAAATATGAACAATTGGCAAGGTGGAAATTTTTCATTATACACAATGTCTAGTCATGTACTTTAGTTCATTTTGAACTATTTGTTCAAGATAAAAATCTGACTGATTATTTGATCCGTGCCATATGGCAAATCTTACATAAATATTCATAGCAACTACTTATTGGTTTCTACAGCATATTTTATCTAAAAGAATTTCATTATTTTTTATAAAAGAAACTCTTGTTGGTCGATTTCAATAAATTAAACACTATATTCTTATATCTATATTCTAGTGTTTTTTACTATAGAAGATGTTATTCAATATTATGTCATTTGAAACGTCAACAGGAGTAGTCAAATACCATATAGATACATTCATTTAGAGATCATTTTTTGTTTGTATAGAAATTAATTTCTGTCAAGGTTCAGAACTTATGAAACACCTTATATATCGACACCTTATATATCGACACCTTATATATCGACACCTTTTTCAACATTATTCATCACTATTATAAAATGCGAAGAGTATGAGAAAATTGAAGAAAATATTGTAACTTGTTGAGAAACGGCTTGTTAAATTATGCCATTATGTAGAAGAAATGCATCATTTTATCATGAAAGGAACAATCAACGCAAAAAAAAGCTTCAAATATTCATTTAGATTTTGTCATTCATAGCGTTATTGAGATAAATGACGAACAAAAAAAAGAACTAACATTTTTTTCCTCAATAAAAGTTAGAATTATTGTATTTTTAGTTCGTGCTTCAATAACTATCTGCGAAAAAGCATGATATTAAATAAGTATCATTATCACCCACGTAGTAATTCTATCATTAATCTTCTTATCAGAACTCTCATCCTTTTGTTTTTTTTTGTGTTGTCTAAATAGAATTTCTTATGAAATATAAAAACAACAAACACATCTGTTTACTTTTTGGCAGTGCTTATATTTCTTGATTTACATATATTTGATTTTTTTCTGTTTAACTACAGATGTAATATCAATAACTGATTATTGAGAAAGCGAGACATTATATTCAGTTTATAATCCTTATCAATATGTAAACAAATAATTAATTAACCACATGAGCCTCCACCACAACCAGCTGCCTTCAATAATGTTGCTTCAGATTCTTTGGTTACATTTAACACAGTAAATTCTTCAGCTGCTGTTGGATGAATACCAACAAGATCATCAAATTGTTGTTTTGTTGCGCCCATCATAATAGCTAATGCAAAACCTTGTACAACTTCACCAGCATTTGGTCCCATAAAATGAAGACCAACTACACGATCATTTTGACTTTTATCACATATTAATTTAGCCAAACAATTTGCTTTATAAAATACTTCAGCTTTTTCTAATTCTTTTTCTTCTTGTAATTGTAATTGTTCACCAGTAACACCTTGAATAATTGTTTTTTCTTCATTTTGAATTTCAATATCATATGTTATTTTATTATTTGCTTTTTCATTACGATATTTATTCATTATACGTGCAACTGTATGTTTTTGACCACCAATATCATCATTAAATAAAACAAAATTTGTATTTTCTAAATCGTATGTTACCTCAGGCCAATCAACGTTATTTTTTAATGCATATTGTTGTGACCAAGAATTTTTTCCTATGAAACATTCGCTTCGTGGTTTTTTTAAATGTGGATGTATTGGAGATATTTCAATATTACCAAATCGTGACCAATAAATACGAACATTTTTTGCACCAATACCTCCATCTAAACAAACAGAAATGAAATTTCTTGTTCTTTTTTATCTGTGATGCATCAACCTTCACGTGATCGCATTGCTTGTTCTTCATGAAGACCAACAAAACTATATTCAGATGGACTTGTAAATACAGTTGATGGTATACCACGATAATTCATTAATTGATTTGATACATTCCATAGACGTCGTGCTAAATATTGTCCAGCTTGAATAGCAACAGGTGTTAATTCAGGTCTTTCAATAGTGACTCGCGCCTGATGTGACAGATCTTTACCATGTTGAATAACACCTAAGAAAATTTTCATTAAAGTACAATATCAAAACAAAAAAGCTCTTATAAAATTACTCATAACGAACAATAGAAAACGATCATTACAGATTAGATTAATTATTAAAATTAAAACATTTCAAATAGTTTTTTTTATTAATATACTCGAACAGTATTGTGTTTATTATGCAGGAGATATTATTATGTGCGATTAGTTGTTGTTGTTTGAAAGAAAATCTTTATAGTTTTCTTTTTTTATGCGAAAATTCTAATTATTATAATTCTTTTGACAGAAATGAACTAATCCGTCTTCGATTTTGACATGAAAAGTAGAATTAATTACAATTGTTATTATTGATCTAAAGATGATATTATATTATTAGAGCCTGATTCTATCAGAATTTCGCTAGAACTGCAAGGAAAGAAGTTTTTGAAAAACGGAATTCTTTAGTTTTTTTTCTTTACCAGTTGCTACATCACCCAATGCATAGATATGCGGTAAACTAGTTTGTTCTTGCTCATCAACAAGAATTTTTCCATTAACAACATGTACACCAATTTTTTCAAGACCAAGACCAGCAATATTAGCTGTTCTGCCAATAGCCAATAATACTAAAACAATAAAAATACAGTGTACTAATGAGTGGTGAGAAAATTTTTCGATACGATTTCTACTCATTTTTGACACGTCAAAAGTTATGAATTAAAATGCTCTTTTCGAACATGAGCTTAGAAGTTTTGTTGGAGAGTAGTGAAAAAGTATTTGATAGGTCTGAAAAATTATTTTTAATGGTGAGCCAACAGTACTCTACAAAATGAGATATTGAACTACGCTGTAACTTCTACCTAAGTGATGATACAAGCATTTGCTTCTTTAAATGTAAAACGGTTGTTGATTTTCCAAAAAATGAGTATTTAGGAAAAACTAAAATTGAAGTACCTTGTCGAAAGACAAAAACTAGTTCAAATAATGCATTTTTTTAGCGTAGTTTCTGATCTACAAGTTGATATACAAATAAAGATCTCAACTTTTAGTTTCGAATCGCAGTAGTGAAAATAAAAAAAGTTTTCTGTTCAAGCTAATTTTTTGATCTTTTCAAAGATTATTTCATTGCTCTCGAATAAAATTTCCAAGTCCATATTCGAAAAGAGCATGCTAAATCATAATATTGAACTCCTCGGAAATACTTTCCAATGGTTCAAAAGTAAACAAACATGTTGTGTAAAAATTTTCCGATCATCGATTATTGAATTTAATTCAAAATAAAATCTACATACCTGTGTCAAAACATTCTGACTGTATTTTTCCTTTTCGCTGATCAGCATATTCATATTTAACTTCAATTTCTCCTTTTGGATGAATCCATGTTACTTTTCCATCAGCATGTTGAACTTCAATTGCTCCTGATTCATGTAAAAATTGATCATTTTCTTTAGCATCTTTTCCATGTTCCCAAATACCAGGTCGACATTCTTTAGCATTTTCTAATTTATTTGGTTTTTCCATAGCAGAAAATGAACGTGGATTAGCTGGCATTATAAATTTTACTCCATCACGTTCCATTAATTCACATATCATTTCACCACATTGATGATCCATTGTACGTAATGGTCTTGAACGTATCATAACAGTAACATCATTTCCAAGATGATGAAGAAAAGATGCGCATTCAAGTGCAATATAAGCTGCACCAATAATAAGAGTTTTACCGGGACTTTTTTTTAACCAAAAAACATCATCAGAACTAATACATAATTCTCTACCAGGAAAATCACCATATGTCGGACGACCACCGGTTGCAATAATTGCTTTATTAAATGTTAAACGACCACTTTTTTTTAAATCCTAATCAAGCAAACGAGGGATCAATTTAGAAAGCTTGTTTTTTATTATCTTTTACCTTCCATTCAATAGTATGTTCATCAATAAATTGTGTTAAACCTTCGAAATATTTAATATTAGCTGAACGAAGTTGAACTTTATATGAAAAATTAAGTGATTTTATATAATTTCCAATCAGTGTTTGCATTGTTGACCAATCATGTTGACCACTGTCAACACTTTTCCAACCAAATTCAGCTGCATCACGATGAAGCATATTACCAATTGTACCAGCATAATGCATTAATTTTTTTGGAATGCACTTTAAGAAAAAATAATTAAACCGGGTGAGGCAAAATGATGGCAACAATGGACACATCTCAACATAGACAAAATGTATAACGTCGAATTTTATTTTTAATACATGCGCTGTGAAATACTCTATAAGAATGTCCATGAAAAATCCCGTTGATTTGTTTTAAATCTTTTCTTATTAAGGCAATTCTTCTTTCTATTTCAAATAAATTTTTGCATGATATACCTTATAAAAAAATCTCATAGGCAACAGTATAATAATGATGAATATTCATAGAAAATATGACTGCTATTGTGTTCTTCAACTGCACAAGCTGTTTGAAGAAAAGAGCTGATCATTTTGCAAACATAATTCAAATGAATTTTTTGGCATCCTTCATTTTCTTGTTTCTTCAAATTCTCTCTTATATTAACCTTTTTATAATCAACATTCTTGTTGACATGATCCATTATAAAATAATCTAATAGATTTAAGTACAGTGAATTAGAAGACTATCAATCACTAGGCATGGTACTTGAAATTTCTCAAGTTTTTTTCTCATTATTATAATGAACAAAAATGGCATCACGTACACTTTCATCTTTTTTGTCATTAAATAAACTCATTAGTATAATTAAAACGACCGTTTCATGCACCAGTATTAAAGAACTCCATGACACATATTTAATAATGATTTAAGATTTTTTATTTGTTAGTAGTAATATATATCCGACATAGTCAATGTTATCTTCATTTTTATTTCTCTCAGAATAATGAAACATTTGACAGGCACACTAGAAATCAGATCCGTTCAGATTTTTCAAAATTCAAAACTAAGCCGAAACCAAACTGATGCCATGCATGCATCACATAGTGCTTCAGTTTTAGCCTTATAAGAAATATTAAAAACAAGTCAATGAGATTTTTCATTATCATTCTAATAGAGATTCTTTCGACGCATCTTTTAAAAAAACTCAATGCCATAGAACTTGTATGTGTTGAGATATACACGATGTTGCGATCATTTTGCGTCATCTCGGGTATTTAATTAATAAATAAAAATATATTATACTTACACCAACATTAACACACGTACCTAGAAAAAAAGTCAAATTCAAAATATACTAAACCTGCGTAGAAGAAGGTATTATTTACCGCCGAGACCCCATTTTATTCCATGATATGTTGGAGTAACGAAGTCAAAGCAGGCTACCTTGAAATTAATTATAATTATTATAAAAACATAAGTCATTGTCTTATTAACAAAAAGCAAACCTACTTTAGCATTTTTATTTAATTTTGCTGCTTCTTTTGCCGCTGCTAAACCTAAATACAATATTAAACAACAAGTATTATAAATCTAATTATAATATTCTTTTTTCGTTTTCTTACCTCCTGAACCACCACCAACTACAACAAGATCGTAATCATAGACAGGAAGATTTTGTGGAGCATAAGATTTCGTTGTACTAGATGCTGGTCTTGATGACGAAGGTCTTTGAGATTTTTCAGATGTTGATTGCATTGTGGAAAAAGTAGGCGCGGGTACAAATTGGACTTTGATTTTAATAACACGAAGAGCGCGTAACATACAATGATAAATATAAAGTGCTTTTATATTTTGTTATCTGGAAGAGAACAAAAATTTATAATGCATAAAAACTCTTACCAGTGTTAATCTAGATAAATGTCTTATTATACAAAAAAAGAAATTTGCGTGAAAAAGAACAAAAATAAATATCCACCTTTTGCCATTATAAGCTGGTATGAATGACGAAAGACATGGTTAGAGGAGAGATATTATGTAAAAGGAATCTAGTTTTTTTAAGATGGTAATTAGTTTCATGCATGGTGAGAAAATTATCTTATTCTCTGGCATTTTATATTAAAAACAAAATGAAAATATTTTCTAGGTATCATTTATTTTTTTCATTTGTTCTACATGGTTATCTTGACATCAGATACGTGCTCTCATGGTCTGCTTACCTATTCAAAATAAATAAAACAGTCATTAAAAAAACATGCTTTGTCATCATGTGTTATTATTTTGTTTTGTTTTTATTGAAAAGAAAAGGAAAAAAACGACTGATATAACAATTAAGCAAAAGTCCAATACATCAGTACGAATTCTTCTTAACGAATAGTTGATGTTGTTGCACGAAATAAAGATTGATAACGAGAATCATGTTTAATGCGTTCAATTTCACGTTGTAATTCAATTTGTGCTTGAGGACAATCTTTAAGATTAAGAACTTTATATATTAAATAAAATAATGAATAAAATCCAAATAAAATAATTCCAATAAATGGAATAATAAGAATTATTCGATATAAAAATGTTGGTAAATTAATCGGAAATAGATTTAATACAACAAGTATCCAAAGAATTAATATACCAAAACATATTGACAAAACTCTTTTCGGATCCATTATCTGAAATAAGAAGAGTTTGTTTTCTTTTATTTGCAATAAACAAGCGCATGTAGCATCAATAAAAGTTTTTTTTTTCGAATAATAACAGAAAAGAAAAAAAAGAGATCTTTTTAAACATTGTAGAATTGACAACAACAACAACAAAAAAGAAAAAAAAACAGAAGAGATGTAAACTATCAAACTGTTCAATGATTTAACGGAAAGGGCAGAAGAAAATAAAATATATATATGTATGTATATATAAATATATTGGCAAATTGTTATGCTTAAGTCAACAAAATAAAATAAGAATAAATAAACTAATGAGAATTTATATCCATGATTCAACAAAATCTTCAAGTACACTTGTTTCAATTTCACTCATTGTTTCTTCTTTAATTGAATTCATTGTCGTTGAATCTGATTTTCGATATGATGATATATGTTGTAAGGATTTATTTTTCTTTTTTGATGATTCTTTCTTTTTAGGTATTGATATTTGTTTATTTGATATATTTGTATGAGTTGGTAATGAATGTTGATAATGATGATGATCATATGTATGCATTTGTGTTAAACAATTAAAAAATGAATATAATTCAATTATATTTGTTATTGTACGTAAACGAAGTAATGGACGATTTGTATTTGTTATTATTGGAAGACGTTCATGTATCGATGTTGACATTAATTGTAATTTTCTTTCAAGTAATTTTGATAAGCGTATTGAAAATGCAATAAATGTATCAACAGGAGATTTTCTATCATTTATATATTCATCAGTAACAAATGCCGAACGAAAGCTACACAAAAAATACATAAAATAATCAAATGAAAAAAAAAAGAAGCTTGTCAGCAGAGCCCCATTTGGGACTAAAATGTGGGACTCACATATACTATTTAGCCTCATTATATTAATATAAGATATATTAAGTGAACGATCTCAAGTAGACTATTGTTATTTCTCAAGAATAATCGATCGCCAGGGAAATGATCTATTTTATTTATTTTTGAGTTTCGAATAGAATTTTGTTTTTTACTGGTACTGTTTTTGTTGTTTGCCTTGTTATTATTCATTCGTTGTTTTTCATATTCGTATTCTGTTTTTCTTAATTTAACATTATTATTATTCTAATCATTGATTTAACTGGTCAATAAACCTGTTGTATATATTCATTATATCTACAGCAGCTCTATTATTTATCTCGATAAGCTCATCAACGCTAATATTGATTATTTCACGCTATTTATGTTGATCACATGGAGACTGTGGCGAATCAATACATAAGTATTCATCATCCTTGACATTTTGAATACGCAAAAAAAGAAAATAAAACTGCACTATTTAGATCATTTACAAATTTATTACCGCCACTCAAATTTCGAAGATTTTGGAATGTCCTAGAACATTTGAAGTCTGATCGTTAATGCTGTTGAGTACATTTATCCATTGTTAAAGAACTCTAGAAAAGGATTCTGACGAGAGCCCGTCAGTTTGGTTCCGGATCTACTTAGGTCCGAAAGTTTTGAACCTGGCGGGCTTTAAGTTTGACAGCTGCTGTCATCGATTGTTATGGACACGTATTCAATAATGGATTGCTTTTTTCGTTCCTCCTTGGTTTAGCCTATCGAATAGGTCCTGGCCTCAGCTAAGTTTAAGTATAAATTTTTTGTAGACCCAATGGGCTCGAGTCTTTTGAAAAATGTGTAGAGTGCGCTAGCCGTCAAATACAACAAAATAAAAGTAAATATTTCGTATATTTGGAGCGATTATCCAACTTCGATTAGAAAACTTCGTTAAGAATATCAAAGTACGGTTCAGACAGGTTCGAAAATTTTGGACCCGACAGGCTCTATTTCTTGGTTGCTAGAGCCCATGAAGGTGGTATTGCAAAAAAAAACCTATTACAACTAACACTTGTTATCTTTTCAAGAATATATGTGAGTTCTACAAAAAAAAAGGAATGAGAAAAATTTCAAAATTAACTTACAGTTGAAAATGATATAATTCCGAATAGGGCATGGCTAATAATACATCAAGTAATTTACATGCATATAAATACATTTTTAGTGCAGGATTAGAAGCATTTGAACTACTTGATACATTTGTTGTAGCTAAATCATTGGTTACCATTCTTTGTACATGAGATCTATAAGAAAAACAAAAACAGAAGTTAATTAAATATATCATTTATGATAATTCATGAAAATTTTTTATCTTACTTGACTTCACCGTCAAGATCAGATATAAGATCTTGTTCAAGTTGTAATAAAACTTGTATAAGTTCTGTCATAAGTATTGGCCATAAAGAGATTAAATTTTTAGTTGATATTCTCAATAAAAGAACACGTAAAAATAGGAACATTTGTGTATGTAATATTGGTACTTGTGGTAATTTAAGTAAATCAGCAATACGTTCAAGTATTTCAGGTAATTGCCTATTATATTGATCTTTTTCTGATGCATATATAACAAAAGCAAAACGTTTAACAAGCATAGCACGTTGTTCATATTCATGCTCTTTTGATACAAATAAACCAGTTTGTACAGTATTAATTTTTGTCATAACATCACGAAATGATGTTGGTCGTTCATTTGTTATCATATTATCAACAATTATTTTCCATGAACGTAATGCAATAATATCAAGTTGAAAAAATGCTACATCAAATAATTGTTCAAATGCTTCTTTTTTCCATGCCTTTCGTGTATAAGAATATTGTGATATATTCATAAGTAAAGCTGATGCTGAGCGATATGATGGAGCATTTGCTGATACATGTGTACGTACATATGGCATTACATTTGTAACAAGATTTTGTAAAAATGGTAATACAACACGATCTTTTTCATCTGTTCGATTATAAACTATATCGAGTAATGCTGCAGCATGTTCAGCAAGAACTGATAATGCTAGATAACTAAAATTTCCATTGTTTATAAGATCTCCTGTATTATTTGTTTGTGTCACACCTAATTAAAAAAAAAGAATTTTATATGAAAAAAGTCATGAATTTGTTAAAAGAATTATTTAGCATAAACCATTAGTAATATTCGTTCTTCATTTCATCCCTGATTAATAAGAATCTATAGATAATAAGTTATGAAACATTTTTTTTCTATTTTGTATTTGGAAGAAATTTCAAGAGATTGATTTGTTTTGTTTAATTCAAAATAATAAAATATAAAATGTTTAGCGAGGCTTTATATACAATGAGATCTATAATCTTGTAGGGCTCAGATTTCGAAGTGACTTCTTTATCCTTTTTGCGGCATAAGTCTAGTCGATTTTTTTTTCAACAAAATTCAAGAGCAAAAAATGATTTTCATTTCAGAAACTTCAATAAAGCAATAAAGATCGTCTGATATCGTTTTCAACTTATAGAAATAGTAGGATTCTTCCAAATACATTGACTATCTAACGTCTTTTCAAAAGAACCACTTTTCAATTTTTCTGTCGCTATGATTTGAAAGTACTTTCAAAAGAAAAAGAGTATGTTATTTATTTAAATCGTTACCAATGGAAAATCATTACACGAAAGACAAGCTTGTTATCTCACGATGAAACTATCCGAAATGATATCCATCTTTAAGCTTATATTGGGTTCACAGGGAGGTCTTGATAAGACTAGAAAAATCCTAAAAAGATTCATGTTGATGGGCTTCTAGAGCCGAGTTATGATTGTTTCACTCATTCTCAATCCAGCTTTAGGTATTTACCGAGAAATCAAATAACAGAATTTCGATCTGAAATTTTACACATAGATAAGTCTGACGACTGTGAGAATGTCTTGAAAGTTCTAGCCCAAAACGAATGTTCTGTTATCGATGTATTGAGTTTTCAAGTAAACTCAACTTTTGTTGCATATATGGTGACACGACAGTTAAGCTTCCTACAGTTGAGCTTCAATAGATTCTCAAACAGTATGTATTAATTCGTGTAGTCTCCTTGTTAGAAAATCAGTACTTTGTGCATTTACTCCAAAAAAGTGATGAGATTAGTTAAATTACATTAGTTCTTTAGCAAATACCTCGCAAAGCTATATTAAAAACAGTTTGCGGGACAATTTTAGCTGAGAATTTGTCGAACATATTAACTACTGTCAGCAATGCATTACGTGCTAAATATTGATTTACAAAAATAAAAGAAAAAATTCATTCGCTATTATTTTCTTTCTTTCTTTTTTTATTAATTTTACTGACCATCAAAATCAGCTGTATCATCAACAGGAATATTCCCAGTCTCATGCGATGAACCAGAGCCCGTCGATGTTGTTTGATTACCAGTTGAACTACTTTTTGATGATTGAATATCAGGTTGTGCAACGCGTACTTGTAAATTTTTTCTTAACCATGTTGTTTGTTCAAGCGATGAAGCAACTATTGTATTACAATTATCAAGTACTCTCATTGTTATATCCTATTTACAAAAATACAAAACAATTTTGTTTATTTTTTCCTCAACTCATGATCAAATATATACTTGTAAATCTTTTAGATCTCTTCTTTCCACAAGTGATGGAGATTGTTTTATGTAAAAACTTAAAATTCTATAATAAAAACAAGAAAATATTCGATAATGAAACATTATTTCTTTTATTAATACCGTATTATTAAAAATGTAGCCGGGGGTGATATAGATTGTGATAAACATTCTTTAAACATAAATGCTAATGTTGGCCAACAGTCAACAGATAAATTTTTTTGATGTTGAAGATATGCTAATAGAAACTGAAGACACCATGCATCATAATTTTGTTTTTTCTAAAAACAAATTATTTAAAACAATTATTTAATGTTAAGAAAAGAAAAATAAAATAATAATAAAGATTAGATTAAAGCTATACATAATCATTTATAAAACCGATAAGATTATGAGATAAAATGTAAGAAAAAAAAAGAGGTATACCCATTTTTTTTGTACAACTTTCATATTATAAAGTGCCGATAACTGTAAAAACTAATCCAAAAAAAAGGACTTTTTTTGTTTCTTTTTTTCATTTCTTCAATATTTACC